CTACAAACTTTTACCAATTTGATTATTTTTTATTTATTATATTTTTTATTTTATTTAATTTTATTATTAATTTTCTAATTGACAGGTAAATATTATTCAGTTCCACCAATTTCTAACAATTTCATTGTTTTTTTTCTCTTTTTTTACCAATAATTTTGCAGTTAACAAATGAAAATTCCAGTTTTACCAACTCTCTAATTTTATATTATTTTTTGAGATATTATTATTTCTGTTTATTATTCATATATATTTTTTTAATTTGACATTTTATTTAATTTTGTGTTCACACTATTTGATTTGTAAATGCTTTATTTAGAACGACAGAAAATTGATTTTGGTTTGCTTTCTTGCAAACAAAATTGTGAAATCTTTCCCCAGACAAATATTTATATTCTCTTTGTGTCACCACATCAATATTTACAATTAGTATTAAATCACAAAGCAAGTTTTAATCGTTCTAACTAGTAATCAGATTATTCTCAAGTCTTGTCGACCCTTTTCCCTTCTCAATCGTCATTGTTTGCCTTCCATCTAATTCTGCTAACATAAGTTAATGGAGACGACGACGATACTTTCCAAACCCTAATCAAATAAGGCAGTGGCAAGAGAAACATTACACACTCTCAAAAAATCAAGTTAGCTCAAAATTTTTCACGACCAACGTGGGAACCAAATTTAAAACTGTCGTTTAAATTAAAATTTAATCACTCAAAGCGCTTCCAACCCACTTGACTTGAACCCCTCCTCCAACGACATCTCCATCAACCCCAATTAAGAAAACATCTTTGATGAAAAAGCCGTGACGTAACAAGATGGCGTAAGCTGTCACCCTAACCTCAATTAACTCAATTAACGCGCACTTGGATGTAATTAAGAAGATTTATTTTGGGCTACTGACCTGTGATGAGCCATAATTCACGAAGACAGTCTTCGCGGCTTCGTTGGACGTGGGTTGGGACATCACCGTCGTTACCACCTTCGAGAGTCTTGAAGAGGAGGGCCCCCACGAACGCGTATCCTGTCATCAGCACCAGGAGGCCCGTGCGACCGCAGAAGATGGCGGTCGAGCAGCGGCGACCGCCACCCTCGTCCATCTACAAAACAACCAATCAAATTTTGACACTTGGACATTAACACCAATTGAAACGCTCGAAATCCCCCCCTCCCGTTCTAACACTGACAAACTATTGGCTAAGCACGAAAAGGGAGGAGTTTACGTGTCCGTTTCTGTTTTTCCTTGTCCTAATTAATTATACCGTAATTTTTTTATCTAAATGGCTGTTTTTTTCCCAATAAATTGTAATATGTTTTTTAATGTTGTCAATTAATTAGAGATCAAATATTTTGTACATTTTTTAGTTTCTTAATTCTACGTAATTAACTAATTATTTAATTAAAAATTACTCTAATAGTGTTATTATTATTTTTTTGTACTTATAAT